CAGGAGGGGCTCAGGGCTGGCCAGGGAAGATTGGGAGGAAGAGAACTGGCCAGCAGGAAGCAAGGCTGGTGGGGAGGGGTCAGGAGGAATGGGGCTGGCCAGGGGGGTGGAAGCCGGGGGGAAAGAATCGGCCAGCGGGGAGCAGGACAGTGCAGGGCGTACGCAGATCCTGAATAAAAATGTAAAAGCAGTGCCTTTTAAATATCCCCACTGCTGACAGTGAGGTTTAAAGGCACTACAATGTGTCAGAATGGAGAGATGGTGTCAGCTTTCTGAAAATAAATGAGCCCCTTTTCAATACATGATGTAGTGGTGCAAGGTTTTATTGGATTACAGTCAATTTTTCCAATCCATATTCCCTTAACTTGCTGATAAGAATGTTGTGGGTGGCCGTATCAAAAGCTATGCTAAAGCTGGCCCTGGGGGCTTTGGGAGGACCAAAAACAATGTATTTGCATATTTGTAATTTGCTTAATGAATATGCAAATATGCACATGACTGTTACCGGCCCTCCGAAAGCTTGCGAATGGATTTACTGGTCCCCGTGTCAAAGCTTGGGAACCCCTGGCTTAAGCCAAAGATGTGAGTTTTGTTGTTGGTTTTGAGTATGCATATGCTTTAGCATAAAGGCAAATTTATTTGTAATACTTTCATAGGTGGCATTTGAACAGCTGCACATTAAGGCATGGTGACAGAACAGAAGCAGCAGCAGAAGAACATTTGCATCCCACTCTACTTTTCTCCCAAACTCAGTGAGAGCTTGGATGCCTTCTGTGAAAATAAAACAGCTTAGATACACAAACATGATCTAACTTAGAAGCTGTTGTTGTTTGCATCTGACCCCCTTCTGCTTCTTTATCCTCTTATTTTTCTCTTTCACTCTTTTCAGTATTTATATCATGTCTGCTTATCTTTTCTTGTAACTCTCGGTTTCTTTACTTGAAAATTGGCGTTTCCCTTGTCTTGTCCATCTCCCCACACCTTTCCTGTACCAGACATGAAACAAGGGTCACACGGGGAATATGCAACTGTCCTTATATGAGCCTTTTGTAGTCCTTGCATTAATCTTCTGTATAACTTTGTGATGCCATGGGACTTACCTCTTCTCTTGTATAATGCCATCTTTACCCTCCTTTTTTGTTCTGTCCTCTTTTCCTCCCCTGTATTCCACTACCTTTCATGGCTTATTCTTCTCCTCCCCCCCCAATTTTCCCCTCTTCCCTCTGGGTGTGGTAAGAGCCGCTACTAAAAATAAATGGGTGTAGAGCTCATTATTTGTTCCTCATGTCTCCATAATCTTGAACAGAGCCATCCCCCCCATTGAGCCCATCCCCCATGTTTAGGCTGAATCCAATATTGACAGTCCTGAAGGAAGAGGAATAAGCTGTATAGGTGTCTGGAAGGGAACTAACAGTGGCCCCTGCACTATCAAGATAGTGCTAGTTACTGCTCTTGCAGTCAGTAAGTGGTCACGAGGACCTATATTTGTGGTCTTTACCCAAAGGCCAGATCTGAAAATATGATCGGGAATGAGGCAGTTTGGTTTCTAAAACCAAAACCCTTAGCTTCCCAGAGAGATACTCACACCACTGCAAGTTTTATTGCTATTTCAACATTGAAACCCTCTTGTCTCTTTCTGAATTCTCAGCACAGCTTGATTTCTCTTGTGCGTAAGAGTGCATTGCCTCCGCTTTCTAATGTTATATTTACTGAAGCAAATGACCAAAGCTGTATCTTTGAGATTCCTCAGGCTACTGGAAGAATTACCCTGGAGTACCTTTGAATTGGTGTAGATAGAACAAGGTTCCTTCTAGATAGAACAAGGTTCCTTCTAAGTGCACGGCAGCACAGTTCCACTGCTGCTTAATCAGCCCCACCCAGTCAAGAGCTCAGGACTTGCCCACAGAGTTGCCTGACGGGGCAGAGCTGATTAAGCAGCGGCAGTGCTGTGCTGCCGTGCAGTTTAGAGGGAATGTTGAGATAGGATGGTGCTGTTTAATTGTTTATTTGAACACTCAGATACTTTTCTTCACGGTGAATATAGAGAGGGAAAATGGCTACCATTTATGTCATGAAGTGACTGGAATTTTCTTTCAACCATCTCAGGTTCCTCTTCTAAAACATGATTTTGGTAACTAGTCACTGGATTTTTAGTAAATTAGGGAGCTTTCCTAGATGTTTGTTGAGCATTGCCCCTCTATTGGAGGCTTTTGGCCTTCCAATGGTGCCATATGCAATAATTCCTTGCTGCCTGCCTTCAATTTGTCCCCATAATTAAATCTATCTCCATTCTTCCTCTGTACCCATAGTCCATATTTTATTTTTATCAGTAAACATACGAAATCCAATGTAGATGTGTTTACAATCTCTCTGAAGCATACTCTTTATTGAATATGTCATAACTTTATATTTTTTACATTTCAGTATGAATCAAATAGCCTTTATACAGGCAGTCCCTGGGTTACATGGATCCGACTTACATCGGATCCCTATTTGCAAACGGGGTGAGGCAACCCCGCACTAGCTGCTTCCCCCGCAGCAGACCAGGGAGACGCAAAGCTAGCGCCCCCTTCCCCCCGCCCCCCCCCCACCCGCCCAGGGAGGCAGGGAGCGGCCTTCCCCCCAGCAGACCAGGGAGACGCGAAGCTAGCGCCCCTCCCCAGCAGACCAGGGAGACGCGGAGCGGCTTTTCTCAGCAGACACCTCAGCTTGAGAATAAAGGACTGAGGGAAGTGAGGTGTGGGAGAATAAAACTGAGCTCTGGAGAAATGTTTGGCTAGAGTTTCCCCTACAATATGTACCAGTTCTGACTTACATACAAATTCAACTTAAGAACAAACCTACAGTCCCTGTCTTGTACGTAACTCGGGGACTGCCTGTATATTCATTGTCAAACTTCTATATTGCAATAAGGTATAAATAAAGTAATCAGTCTAATAAAGACCTTTTTACTGTCAGTGTACGTTTATAAGTCACTTATCTTTTGCTCTAGTGTGTGGGTTGCATTAAATTTCCAGTAACATGATGATGGAGAAGGTATCAGCGATTGTGTATTTATCTTAAGACCAGTGGATCCTTAACCCCCAGCTATGATCAGATAGCGATCTTTTTGGGCAGAGCTGCACACATCTATCCTCTCTCTTTCTTCTTGAATCTGGGTAGAAGGCACAAGATCAGCTGGAACTTTCAGCACATGATGATGTTTTCAGGTAAAAGTGTTTGGTGAAGCAATAGTTATGTGTTACATAAACCTAAATAATTCTTTCATGTGAAAATTCTCCTTTTCATAATTAATGTGTAATTTCTGAGCAGGAAAAAGGCTTTTGTTTTAAAATAGTAGCAGTCAACTTAGACACTGTATAAAGATGCTATGCTATTTCCTATTCTTTAATTTCATTTCTTTACAAACAACAGATCAGAATCTGGCATGATTCTGAGAGGAGTCGGTCATTGGCCTCTGGCAGCGAGATGACCTCTGCATGGCTATGACTAACACGCTTCAAAATGTTTGTGTTTAAATTTTGCGGATAGAAAGGAGAGGGAGACTGAAATGTTTGGCAATATTTTCCCCTCGGAAAATAGCTTTCAGAATGACAGGACCAATGCTGTCAGACATATACGTGTGCAAAATCCACCTAGGGCTAGAATGAAAGAAAAGGAAGTGGAAATTCTACTAATGGAAATCTTTTTCTTCTGCTTTCCATATCTCAAGTGAGCTGCTAATGTTTGTGTTTCCTTACTAATAAAAACAAATTACTGCATATTTTTACTATTATTACAAATAAGTCCATGGCTGCCTGTCTGGGTGGGCTTTGCTGCTAGAATTTTGAAAGCCTGTAAGCTGTGTGTAGTACTTAGAAGTATGTTATTACCCAGAATTCTCCCAAGCTCACAGCTCTTTTATGGCAACACTGGTTTTAGTGTCGTGGGAACAAATTGAAAGACTTACTTGCTATTTCTGGATGCAGGGAGCTTCTTAATTTAAAAAAAAAATGTTTTTGCTTCAGTCAGCATGCAACTTTTTCCCACAAGCTTTTCTGGAAATATTTGTCATCTTCATACAATTATTTTTGGACTTATAATCATGTTTATGAAAATGCTGTGTCCGGTAGCTTGTTACTGCTTTGCCATTTTCAGGGCAGATATGCTCTGCCCTGAGCCATGGCATAGATTAGAGCAGTCTTGGTGCTGCTCTAACTTACGCCTGCTGACTCTGGTTTATAAAGAACTATAACCAACTGAGCATAGCTGGAACACACCCCCTGCTTAACATAACATAGTCCCTTTACCAGAGATGATAAAGGGTTTGTGCAGGACATCATAATACTGTTGTCATACATCTCACAGACCAGATGAGGTGGCATTTTCATAGTATTTGGTTATTTTAAAAAGCTGATGCAGTGGGGAGAAATAATCAGTCCCTTCTTGTATGGGTGAGGGGGTTAGACTGAACGAATTTTAGAGAATTGCCATGAAAACTGTCAGAGGAGCTTGAGAAATTCACCTGGTTCGTTCCTTTCTTTCTGTGCAGGTCTTAGGGGAGCTATGGCATTTGCTCTGGCCATCCGAGACACTGCTACTTACTCCCATCAAATGATGTTCTCAACAACTCTTCTTATCGTCTTTTTCACTGTCTGGATTATTGGTGGAGGCACAACGCCCATGTTGTCATGGCTGAACATTAGGTCAGTACACATCCAAATACCGGGCAATCTTAAAGTATTTTTTAAAAGAAAAAAACCCCCTCCACTGTGCTAGTTGCTAATACACTAAAACTATCTGTGTGATGCTTGTTAGGAATCTCTAGATTTTTAGGGGTATAGATGTATAAGCAAGGAGAATTAAACAAGAAGTTATTGCCATTGACACTGCATAGATGTATAGTATAATAGGATCCCTATGAGCCAAAACATCTGGAGCCCTGAGCTCCTTAGCAGGATGCAAGTAACATCCACTGATTTGAATAGAAATTGCTTGTATCCTACAAGGAGATAATAGGATGCTTGTATCCCAACTTCCATATCTAATGAATGAACACCATTCTCCATCTGTTGGTCCCTGATAATGATGTGATCCTGCTCCCACTGATTTCAGTGGGATTTGATTTTAATGGGAACTGGATCAGCCCCAATTAAACAGGCTGTTATGCAAACACATGTGGTATTTCCTGGACTGTTAAAACAAGCAGGATCTTGCTATACTATGTGTATTCCAATTACTGTATTATAACTATAAAAACATTCAAGGGGCTGAAAAGGCTTGAAGACATGGAAAGCATTAAAGATGATGGGTATGGTATGTAATCATAAGAGTTTGGCTAAACTTCCAATATACACATGCACTGAGGTTATATGAATATATATTTTGAAGCAACTTATGGGAATCAAAAGCCTTAGAAAATAATGGCTCCATCCAGCCTTCCACCCACCGAGCCATTGTTATACCAGGAGCATACCTGATGGATATTAGGGTTTTGGCAGCTGAAGAGAATAGGGATATGAACAGCTAGTAAACTATCCATAAGTAAATGTTTATCGGACAGTCAAGACACTAGTCAAATAGTCGCTTCCCTCTCCCCCGCAGCCTCTATAAGAGAGTGGAAGGAGTGCTTCAAAGCAGCAGCACAATGTGGATCCTGGGGCCAGACTCTGAGGTCCCCGCAGTGTTGCCGCTTTGAAATATCGCAAGCAGCCCAGGGCCAAAAATGTTTAACCTCTCTTTTTATTTGTATCTGTGTAATTCTATAAATCTGTTCATAGCCTTCTGGTTACGGAATGCAGTATTTGACAGAGCCCTATACAGTGTTCACTGGAACTGGTGTAGTTGCGGCAGCCACGTGCAACTGAACAGGAGGCAGAAACACAAGTGGTGATCGATGGTCTCTTCTCATGATACAGTGCCAGTCACTGAGAAATAAAATGTCCCCTCTGTTATAGGAGGGCAGCAGAGGGATAAAGCTTAGCACTTTCCCAATGAAGTTCAGAAGTGGACTTAACATGTTAGTGTCATAGCCTGTGTCTCAAACAGAAGCAACCTCATGGCATAAAGGGCTCAGTTGAGGTGCAGCATAGAATGCAGGATACTGTCACTGCATTTCTTTCCATGGATGATGCCTAGCCCCCTGGCACTTATGCTCTTTAAATTAGATTGCAGGAAATAAAGCGCGAGGGTATGTCTACAGAGCAGTGTTATTTTGGAATAACTGACGCTATTTCAAAATAACAAAATGCATGTCTACACTGCAAGCCGTTATTTCGACATAATGTTGACCTGGAGGACTTCTTACTCCTACTCCTGTAAGCCTCATTTCAAAAC